CATTTTCGATCCTCTTTATATACAGAAGATCAGTTTAGCATACATTAAGTAAAGATTTCAACAGTTTGCTCCCACACAGAAACATAAAGTGAAAAATACTGTTTGAGTACTCGTTATAGCATTAAATCTCAATGTACAGCACACTAAGGACAAAGATCCTACATGAGGAGTAAGTGCACAGTGACTCCTGTTGTTGACTTAACAAATTGACACTCTTGTTTATGGCCTCAGTAATCACCCTAGGCTCTTGTCATGAGCTGCCAAGGCTATGGAAGCCCCCTGAGTTCACTGACTCTGATCATTTTTAGACAAGGCCATGGTCAAAGTGGAAGTTCTCTCCTCCCTTCAGAGAAAGGTACCTCCTTCTTTGATGACCCATTCTTTCCACTGGGATCTCACTCGCGGAGATCTTTCATTTAGGTTTTTTTTTTTTCCCCCAGAGTGTCTTGGAATAGCCCTCTCTTCTGCTTGGAGTTTGAATCCCCCAATGAATTCGACTGACAACTCAGCTTTGTGTTTTTTGACCAAATAATGGAATTAATTTGAACAATTTTGTAGAATTCCCGGTAGTTTAGTGGCCCCCTGATAATTTTAAAGGCCTAGACCTCTTTGGACATTTGCTGAAAGCTATTCCACCTCCCTTCCCATTCCACCTCCCCTCCTACACAAAAAATAAATTTCAAAGAATTCATAGACTGACATAGGCTTATCCATTGGCTCCCATCCTAAACATCACTGTGTAATATCTAAATTTAAGGAGGTACAGAATTAATTCCCATGTTTTTAATAGCATTATAAAATTTAGATTGCAGCTGTATTTTTGTACACCTATATATGTTTTTCTGTCTATCTGGGTGGTGAGACCTTTCAGTTTTATTTTATACATTAATTAGCTCTTATAGGCCTGATGATGACATTTCACAATCTTTATAGTTAGAAATGAACTGCTGTTAGGAATGAACACACATTTACTTGGTTGTGGTGCTTTTTCCTTGTTACCTTTTAAAAACTTTATTGATATATAATTCATACTACAAAATTAACCTCTTTAAAGTACATAATATTGGAGTTATTATATCAACAGAGTTGTGCAACCATCACTGCCGTCAGTTGTATTTTCATCACTCCCTAAAGAAATCCCATCCTCTTTAGCAGTAACTTCCCAATTCTCTTTCTCCCTCCAAGCCGTTTCCATTCTCCAGTCCTAGGCATCCACCAGTCCACTTTTTATCTCTATTCTAGACATTTTGTAGAATTGGAATCATAAAACAAGTGGCAATTTTGGCTGCTTTTGTCTTCAATGTTCTTTCATGTTGTTGCATATATATTAGTATTTTATCCCTTTTTATCACCAAGTAATATTCCATTATATGGGTATATCTCATTTCATGTGTCTTCATCATGGACATTTTATTCAGTAGCTGGACTTTTGGAATTTTTCTACTTTTATGAACACTGAATAATATTGCTTGAACATTCTTGTAAAAATTTTGTGTGAATATATGATTTCATTCTCTTGAGGATATAAATAGAATTGCTGGATCAGAAGATAACTATTTTGAGAAACCTCCAGATTGCATGCCGGTGTGACTGTCTAGCATTCTTGGAGGCTTTCAGTTTCTCCATATACCCTGACAATATTTGTTATTTAAGTGAAAATCAGTGTGGTTTTTGATTTGCATTTTTCTAATAGCTAATGATACTGAGCATCTTCAATTCTTTTTTTTTTATTTATTTGAAAGAAGGAGGTGGAGATTGAGGCTGAGACAGACAAAGATTTTCTGTTTGCTGGTTCACTGCCTTAAATGCCCACAAGAGCCAAAGCTGGACCTGGCAACTCAATCCCAGTCTGCTGTTGTGAGTGACGGGGACCCAACTTCTTGCGCGATCCTCTACTGGCTCTCAGGGTACGCATTAATTAGCAGGAAGCTGGAAATGGGAGCCCGCACTTAAACCCATGCACTCTAATATGGGATGTTGGCATCCCAAGTAGCATCTTATCTGCTTTGCTAACTCATCCTGTTGTTAAGTGTCTTTTAATGTGTTTATTGATTGCCTAACTCCTTTGTCTATTAAAATCCTTTATCCATTGAAAAATTTTGTGTGTAAATGATTATTGAGTTTTTTATTCTAAATATGAGATTACATCAAGACATTTGTGGAAATTGGAATTAAAGATGAGTTTCTTTTGGTGCAAAGAATTTTTGAAATCTATGCATTTTTTGGTAGTATTAATTTTCCATGAACATTTTGGAGACATTTCTTTGCCTGGATTACAGAAATTTTTGTACTGTAACAAGGTTACCTTTAATTCTGTTTGCCATACTCTCATATATAAGGACAATTATCTGAGTGCTTATTGCGTGTGCGTGTTTTTCTTTTTTTTTAAGTTGATTTCCATGTATTTGAAAGACTAAGAGAGAAAGAGAGGGAGATCTTCCATCTGCTGTTTCACTTTGGAAATGCGTGTAATAGCCAGGCCTGAGGAAGGTAGAAGCCAGGAGCCCAGAACTCCGTCCTGGCCTTCATGTAGGTGGCAGGGGCTCATGCACTGTAGCCGTCATCTGCTGTCACTCAGGAGTCATTAGCTGGAAGCTGGTTTGAAAGCAGAGTAGCCAGGATTTGAATGGTTCTCTGAAATGGGATGTGAGCATCACAAGTGGTTGCTTAACGGCTGTGCAACAATGCTGCCCCCTAAATCTTACTGCTAAATTGTTTATGTACTTTGTCTCTTTCTCTTCTAAGGCTCTTATTTTACAGTTTATTTAAAGAATATTAGTGCATTTCAAGTATCATTTTGTCCTTATCCAGGCCCACTTCCAAATCAGGTAGGGTACTATAAGATGTAATGAGCAGCACCTGAGTTGCATGGGACATTGATATCCTTCCCTTTTGTAATGAAGCAATTGCTTTTTTTCAGTAGAGCAATGTAGATCACTCATCTGGAGATTAGACAGGAATGAGACGGATATCTAAATCAGATAGCCGTTCCATGAAAGGTGACATATAACTCAGGATGGATTTCAGGATGGAGTTCTGTGGTGTGTTCAGACCTCTGCATTTGAGAATACCACATTTCAGAACATGATGAGCCACTCATGTGTAAATAACTTCGGAATATGTTTTATGATGTCTTTTAAAAACAGTGGTTACTTTCTATAAGCTGTAAATTCATCCTGGTTTAGGGACCCAGTGCATATGATCTGTTACCTCCATGACTATGACGCTCACTGTGAGTGCCCATCATTGTGCTTTGGTTCACTTCTGTTCATTTGAAAATGTTGACCTTTGTACCGCAGATGACTCTCTGGCTTCGGCACCTAACACTTACAATGTGTGTTGTTGTTTTTTTTTTTTTTTTTTTGCATCAGAAGAGATTAAAAAATGGAAGTTGGCAACATTTAAAAGTTAATCCTCAGAAAAGAGAAGATTCGTTCACAAGAAAATTAACTTCCTTTTATTAAATTAAAATAGCATTTTCAATTAGTAGTGAAAGTGAACTGAAGTAACATAGAGGAGTAAATATTACTGCTGTTTATTGAGCAGAAATGTGCTAATATTAGTTGATTGGTTTGGAAATTGGAAGACATTCTTGTTCTGCTCATCATCCTGCCCCCAGTCAAGGGGATTTTTCTTAGCAGTGTTTGCCAGGGTATTTCCAGAAATAATGAGCGCTGATACTGTAATATGTTGCTTTGGATATTTTTAACTTATAAATGGAATTTTGATCTTGGGATACAAACAGGCTCTTCTCTCCCCATATCTTATACCCTTCATGGGCCTCACTTTCTTTGCAATCACATGAAAGTCATTGCTCCCTGTCAGGCTTCCTCACAATATGGTGTGAATCGGAATCCTGTCAAACATTTGTATTATGCTATGCTTTAGTGCTCCCTCTATTTTCCTATCTTCAGCACTGTTTCTCCAAGTGAGATTCTTTTTAATCTTCTCTTGATCCATTTAAGGTCCTCTCAGCTGTCTTTTTGTCTCTATTGCTATACATCCTGTGTACTGAGAACCAAAATTTCTTGTAATACAGATAGTGGAGTCAGCACCTCATCAAAACTCTTGGAGTCTTACAGCATGAAGGCTCCACTCCTCAGCGTGGTATTGAAGTGCTTGGATACCAGACCAGTCTCGGGCCCTGAGACTCCCTTGCACCTGTACCACAGGAGCTTCCTCCCTGACTATGGGTGACCATGCACCTATTCTTATTTCTCTGCCCTTTTGCTCATGACGTCCTTGCAGTCTCAGTGCCTCTCCCTCAGTTGCTGTCTTTTCATTTTCTTCATGTCCACTTACATGCCACCTTTTTGGGTAGAAGCCTTTTACGGTGAAGGTAGAGTTCACTTTTTCTTTTTCTTTTTTTTTTTGTTATAATGCGTATTTTATAACTCTTTGTGGCACTCATTGCATTTTAACATAGTGACTTATACTTTGACCTACACCTTGGTTCAAATTCCATCTCCAATGCTTATTTCTTCTGCATTCCTGGGCACACAGATCTGATATCCTAAGCTTTGTCTTCATCCATTGTGTTGGGATGATACATGTACATAGTTTGCAGGTCTTTTACACTGTATAACACAATGCCAGCTTGGTAAGTGGAATCTATGTTTGTTTTCTGAGTTCTTGCCTACTAGACTTTATTCCTCAGTAGATAGTAAGCACGTTGAAGGTAGGAAATTAGTCTCATACATCTTGGTATCCATCCCAACACGTTGGTCCCAGATGAAAACCTTTCACTTTGGCTTGGCGTGATTCATGGAACATGCTAAACTCCTGTGAATTAACATATTAATGCGTTGCTATGATGCATCATTTCACAGAGAAGTTGGAATGGCTTATGGGGTGCACAAAAAAGAAAATAAGATATAAATTAAATTAATAGCATTCAATTAAATAACTGAAGCACATCATTTCTCCGTTAGAAACCAAAGTGAAACAGAAGGTATAGGTAAGGAAATGTTAACGCTTGTCTTCATTCTGTCCTGTTGCAGGATCTCGTCTTCGCCAGGAAGACTTTCCCCCACGGATCGTGGAACACCCTTCAGATGTCATCGTCTCTAAGGGCGAGCCCACCACTCTGAACTGTAAGGCGGAGGGCCGACCAACACCCACCATTGAGTGGTACAAGGATGGGGAGCGCGTGGAGACAGACAAAGATGATCCCCGATCCCATAGGATGCTTCTGCCCAGTGGATCGTTATTCTTCTTGCGCATCGTGCATGGACGCAGAAGTAAACCCGATGAAGGAAGTTACGTGTGTGTTGCAAGGAACTATCTCGGCGAAGCAGTGAGTCGAAATGCATCTCTGGAAGTGGCATGTAAGTCAGATCCTCGTTTGCATGCTTGCTTTTATTTACTTGTAGTAGGCTTTTATTCTCACAGATACTTCACATGGAGAGACAAAAAAGCATGCTGCCCAATCTTACTTTGCCCTTTCTGAGGCAATCTGGTCAAACTAAGGTCAAGCTACGTGTTGCAGCCAATCTGTTGATATTAAATTAATGTGAGGATTATGTTAAATTAAAGCAGGACGACAATGATGCTGTTCATATTTAAAATTTGAATTATTAATGAGAGATATAATCAAGTATTAAAGTTTGATGTTAAATGAAAATATGTGTAGCTCATCTTCACATACAAGGGATGAATTTAATATTGTACTTCTCTCTGACACTTATTTATATATAAATAACAGTATGTGACAATTGTGTGTGTATGTGTTGCGTAATTTGCTTGTAAAGCTTTGATCACACAACCATAAAAAGAACCTGTTCTCTTATTCTTTAGATTATTTTCATTCTTCCCTCCTAGATGAATTCAGGAATTATTTCCCTAGACATGAAGGGTTGACTATACCAGTGACAATAGCCACTCCTTTATTTATTTATTTTTTTTTTTTGGTGGTAAAACTTAGAAGAGATCTGCTTTCTGTGAGGACAAAGTGTTGACACTTACGAGAGTTTCTCATTTGTACTCAGTCCTAGAAATCGGCAATAGCTAACCGTGTGCCCTGATTGTGGTGATTTTCATCGACTCATTTACTAATTGGATATCCAAATAGCAGTGGTACATCAAGATATCAGTGTGTTGCATCTGTTTGAACTTTGGCTCCATATATCCATGGATTGTTTCTAGAACAAATATAAAATATGATATTTTTTTCTGATGGATAGGTGAAGATTTGGGATCATAATTTAATCATACAATGCTGGTTGTAAATTATCTATTTTGAGGATATATTCTATCTGGAGTGAATTGTAAACATAGTTAATAATTTCATTTGTACCTAAAAGTATTTTTACTCTTTAAATTTCTAGTTGCAGATTAGGTCTTGGCAGAGAACATAATTTAAGAACATTAGGATGCCTGGAGTTTATTTTTATAGCTGGGAGGGAAAGTGATAAACATTAGCTCATGGTCTCATGTCTTCAGTTGAAGTTGATACTTATCACATGCTACATGGTATCATACTAGATTACAAAACTTTTATATAGGTGTAGAGAAATCCTCAACAACATAACATTGCCATTTTATATACAAGCCTCTTTTGGTAAACAAATTATACTATTTCGTATGCTGAAACCCCAGTGAAAGCTGGTTCTTAAGCAGCCAGTCTTCTGATTTCTAATTTCTGTCAGAAATTGGGAACTCAATGATGCACATAAAGAGTAACTTCAATAGAGAAAGACTAGATAAATCCTAAGGATCCACATATTTGTGAACTTTGAGATAAGGACATTACGATGTTAACTAGCATTGGCAATTTGGAACCAGTTAATTTCATTTTTATAAAATGATACTTCAGATAACACTTAAGTTAAATGCAGTTTTGTGAGATTTTAAATACATTCAAAAAAACCTCTAGAATGGAAATATTCCTAATTATTCCATTTTTATTTTGAAATATTTTATTTCTGGAACCATTTAAACATATTGAAACATTTCAATGCCATATTCTATTGATTTTTTTCCTACAACAAATCTCTTTGTGGTGAATAATGACAGGCATTAGTCTCCAATTTTGTAGATGAGGAAAATGAAGTCCATGGTATTTAAATGAGCAGGATTTAGATAACAAAAGGGGATGTAAGACTAATCCTGAATCTTCCAATGTTTAGTTTTAGAGAATTTCTTTGTATTAAGAGAAATGATGCAAAATGAAATCTTTTCTGTTTTCTAATAATAAACTTTTTATCTACTCAACAAAGAAGTACTTGAAATCTAACAAATTTTACTTTATAAAAATAAAGTTTATCTAAGTTGGTCAGTGATTTTAATCTTTAGTTGTTATAAACTTATTTTTTCCCTGAGTCTTTAAGTTTCTCCCAATGCATATCTTTTATTTCATCGAAAAGGATTGCTGTATTTCCTAATTACATCATTAATACTGAATCAGACTGTTTCAGAGAGAAATTTACATCATGATATTTTTTCATGTAATACAACAGTAGCATTTTTTTTATTTTGAAATAAATGAGCTTTAAGAAATGCATGACCTATTGAGGGAAAACAAGAAAGGTTCCAAATTGGATTTAGCTGGTGAATAAAATTCTTCTAATGCTATGTCAACAGTTCATGCCATTTGAGGCAACACAAGATTAAATAATACTCACTTACATGCTGCTCATCTTTTTCCATTAACTCATCTGTCTTCTTTTTCCTTATGTATTCCATAAAACATTAATATGGAAATTTGTATCTAAGCATTGGGATTTTCCATAAGATACATTTAAAAAGTTATAAAGGAACAACTGCAGATTATACAGTTGTTTGGCCTTCATATTTTAGAACAGTGAACATATATGCTCAATCATGGTGTCATGTCTTCACATATTAACAAATGGAAAATGGGAATCTACTGGAAGAGCTGTTAAAATACAGTAATGAGGAAGGCACACTGTAATCTCAAAGAGCTCTGCCTGTCAGAATGATGCATATGTAAGCAAATAATTTTAATCATAAATTAAAGAGACAAGTAGTACAGCCCATTATAGAGACCTCTAAAAGATAGTAAGGAACTCAGGAGGAAGAATATTTGATGATCTCTACAGAGATGGATATAAGAAAAGGTTCTAAGGGGTACATTATTTGATCTCTAATATGAAGGTGAAATGAGAATGTCTCATGTGGAAATTGAAGTGAAATATCATTCTGGTAGAGAGACTAGGAATCTAACTGAACACTGTGTATTTGCAGAACTGTGGGTACCTCAATATGAGATTGGTGGATAGAATATGTTGGGAAATTAAGCATGTGCAGAATGATAAAATTTAGACATTTCTTATGGGATAAGAAAATCTTTGAAAAAGAATTGCAGAGTGTGTTAAAGGGATGATTGAAGTCACAAGTAAAGAATTTGTCAAAAATTCAGTATGAGATCGATGCTGGATTGTGAGCTGAAAACAGCAATGAAGATTGACAGGAGGAAATAATTTGAGACATATTTATGAATTGTAAGGAATATTATTTTGCTTTTTTTTAGCTGAGTAACTGGTATATATTGCTAACGTCCATAAAAATGAAAGGTGAGAAGAAATAAATATAGTGGGAATAGAAGAGTGTGCTCCACTTTGTACTGTTGACTTATCAGCAAGATATCAAGATTAGGATGTCTCAAAATTCTCAGAGATTGATGTCACGAGAATACATTGAAGTAGAGGTTTGGGAAGAATTAGCAATGGAAGAGGCTAAGGCTTAGAAGGTATCTAATACGATATGGCTAGCCATGTGGTAAGAAAAGCAAAGAAATATTTTTGCTACAGGTTTATGTATGTGTGTATGCACGTATGCATGTGTTTGAAAGACAGAGTGATAGCATGCATGTATGAGAGACATAAGCAAGAGATCTTCCATCTGCTGGTTAACTCTCCAAATGACTACAATAGCCGGGGGTCGGCCAGGCCAAAGCCAGGTGCCTGGAACCCCATCTGGGTCTGCAATATTGGTAGCAGGGGTTCAAGCATATGGATCATCTTTTGTTCTCTTCCAAGGCCCATTAACATGGAGCTGGATTGGAAGAGCAGCCGGAGTTCGAATGGGTGTTCATATGGGATGCTGAAGTCAAAGGCAGAGACTTAATGCGCTGCATCCCAGTGCTAGCCCCAATAAGTATTTTTAAGAAAGAAAATATGATTGGCACAATGTAAATGCAACAAAATAGTCTGATAAAGGAGCCAGCATTGTGGCTTACTGGGTAAAGTCACTGCCTGAATGACGGCATCTCATGTGGGCACCAGTTTATGTCCAGGCTGCTCCACTTCTTATCCAGCTCCCTGCTGGTGGCCTGGGAAAAAAAGCAGCAGAGGATGGCCCAAGTGTTTGGGCCTCTGCACCTATGTGGGAGACCAGGAGGAAACTCTTGTTTCCTGGCTTTGGCCTGGCCCAGCCCTTGAGTGAACCATCAGATGGAAGATCTATCTCTCTCATGTCTGTCCCTTTCTCTCGCTCACATAAATAAAAATCTTTTAAGAAATGGTCAAATAAAAGGTTCAGTCATCCCTTCGTATTCATAGGGGTATTGATTCACCATGTCCTACATAGTTAGTCCAATGATGGTTGTATCTGCACTGAACATGTACAGATTTTTCATGTTATTCCATAAAAAAATATAGTATAGCACCTATGTATATAGCATTTACATTGTGTTAGCTATTATAAGTACCTAGAGATGATTTAAAGTATTTAAGAGGATGTGCATGTGTTATATGGAAATACTACACTGTTTTAGGTAGTGGACTTTAGCACTGTAGACTTGGATATCTTTGGGATGGTCCTAGAACAGATCCCCCAGGAATACCAAGGGATGACAATACCTGCGGTCTCTAGTGATAGAGGGCACAGCAGCTAAAAAGATGGATAGGCGCACCATCTGGCGTGGTCGGCATGGCAAATGCTATCTGTTCCTTCATTGACATAGATGACAGTGGCGGTGGTGGGAGGGTGGTAGGTGGGAGGGGACAGGGGAAACGAGGAAAATCTGGAAGCCATGCACTTGTACTGTATGGGATTAGCTAATTCTTTACTGTCAGAACTTGTGCTGCGTGCTGTAAGGTGTTCGGAATCCTCTCTGGCCTTTGTCTAGGCTATCCCAATCCGATTGTGACAACCAAAAATGTCTCCAGATGTTGTCAGTTGTCCCATGGAGGATAAAGTCATGTGAGAACCACACCGGATCTGGGCTTATCTAAGTCATCGAGACTGTGTCAACCTGATAAGTAGGAAATAAATTTGCTAGGACTTTTATAGTGAAATAATAATTGATAAAGATTTGTTTCATCCAGGCTTTGGTTTTCACGTGAGAAATCTGAGATTTTGCTGT